GAAGGCAGGGTGGAGACAGAGGCAGCTGCGGGCTGAGCGCTGCTCGCCGGGGGGCAGGTGTAGCCGAAGGCTGCGGTACTGGCTGGCTGCCCGGCCTCAGCAGAGGGCGCCTGCGGCAGGGGCTGCACTTGGCCATACCCACCACCACCATAGGCTCCTTGGGTCCCTGGAGAGCAAGCACAGCCTCTGCAGAGCCAGCCCTGTGGTCCCGGGCCCAGGCAGCAGAGAGCCAGAGCCACACTCCCTGGGACCAACAGGACCACCAGCTGCTGGGAGCCTACCCGGCCTGGTACAAGTGGCCGCGAAGCCTGGGTGTCTGAGCCACAGCTGGAGGCCGGAGCCCTGGGCTCTTCCATCTCTAAAATCCAAGTCCTCAGCAGAACCCGCCTCCTTCCATCCTGGGAAGTTTTCCTTAGAAAAAAACTTCCAGCCTGCCTCAGTCTCCCCTTCTCTCTCTCACACACAGGCCCGCTGACTAGTGGAAACTTTAGGCTGGTGATCTGACGGGACAGCCCCGAGACCCACACTATTTCTGCAACTCTTGTGAATATGGAGTGTCTGAAACGTGACTTGACTGTGGTTCCTCCCGTGTAAGCGAAGCCCCCTGCTCCCGCCCCGCCCCTGCAGAGACCCACCTGGAGGGCAGAGTGTGGCGGTGGCAGGGAGCGGAGGCTGGCCAGCAGCAGGTGGTGGGTACTGTTTGTTCTCATAGCCACTGGCGGCTGTTGATGGTCCATAGCTGTAGCTGTCCTGAGAGAGCGTTTCCGTGGGGGACACAGAGCAGAGAGAAGGGCGCTCAGGATGGGGGTAGCTCACTCGCTACCCCCAATCCCCGTGTGGCCCGCATCCACCTGATTCCCAAGCTCCTGCTCTGCACCAGCCCTGTTTCAGGACCTGGGGATGCAGTGACCATGGAGGTGGACGTGGCCAGCTCTCGTGGAAGTGACCGTAGCGTCTGGGAGCAAAAGTGCTCTGAGGAACGTCCAACAGGACAAGGGCCGCTGGTGACGGCTCGGAGGAGGAGGAGTGACAAGGAGACAGGAGTGCGGAGACTCGGGGACAGGGCTCCTGGCAGATGTCGGCAGGGTTCAGAAGCCCTGGTGGGAGTCAGATGTGGGGCTTGCAGGAGCCCCAGAAGGTGGTAAGAGCAGGGGATTGCTGAGCACAGCAGCAATCGTCAGGAAAGGGGCTGGGAGGGCAGGGGGGCCAGAGGTGCGGGAAGGGTCCGGGGCAGCAGGGAGCATGGCTGGATTTTGGTTCACAGCAGGGTTGAGCTGTTGGGTGGAAGTGAGGACGAAAGCACAGAGGCCAGGAGAAGGCCCTGGGAGCAGGGTCGGGGCTGGGTCTGGAGAAGTCCTGGAGGCCCTGGGGAAGCAAAGGGGAGGGAGGGCGCAGAGCCAAACAGCTGCGTGCTTGGCTGACCAGCAGCCTGTGGTGCCATTTGCTGACCCAATCGGCAACAAGCTGCCTCAGGGGGGTTGGACCAGTGGGGAACGCCTTGGCAACTCCCAGTGGAAGCCCAGCAGCCTGATCTGTGGGCCCGGAGCCCGGAGTCAGGAAGGTGGCACTGTCAGCACTGACACGGACAAGTCTGACCCCATCACCTCCACCAGCACGAGTCCCAGACTATCTGCCTCCACACAAGCTTGTCCAATTTTCAAGGGAGGACCAGTGCCAGGCAGAGAAAGTCCGGGCTGATACCTGGTAGGAGGGAGCTGTGGAGGGTGCCGGTGCAGGCTCCTGGGGCTGGCTGCTGTAACCGAGGTCCTGGCCGGAGTAGGGCTGGTACCCACCGTAACCCGTTGGAGTGACGGGCCTGGATGGCTGGGTGGCCTCAGGAAACGTCGGGGTCAGAGCAGGGCCCAGGCCAGGAGCAGACGGTGTGGCGAAGCTGGCTCCCGCAGCCGGAAGGGGAAAAGCCGTTGGAGGCTGGGCGCTAAAACCACAGATCAACACAGAACCCCGGCAGCATTAGATCCCGTCCTCCGAGAACCTGCGTCGGGCACGTGAATGCCACCTGACCCTGGACTCCAGCTGCTGGGATGCCGCCAGCCACACGGCACTGCCTGTAACACTAACCCTGGCCTTTCTGTGAGCACAGGTGCCAATGGAAGTGCTTTTCACAAGTTAACACAATCCCGTAGTGACTCTGAGGCCGAGGCCATCCTTGTCTCCGTTTTCACAGTTGAGGAGAATCATGGAAGGTCGGTTGACGTTACACTGAAAACTCTACCTCCGAGAACCAGCTCTTACTGGCGGTTTGCCCTGGGAAGCCCAGAGCTGAGGCCTTTTGTCAGCCTCACCTCATTGCCAGCTTCCTGCCCTCAGAGAAGGTGCCGCTGGCTGGCCGGCCGGCCGGCCATCGGTTGGTCTGTCCCCACTGTCTGGATGAGGATACTCTCTGAGGACAGGTGACCTCAGTCAAGTGCTTGATTCAGACCCAGATCTTTCTGATCCCTGTGCTCCTTGCTCTGCTAAATATCTATCACCCAGTAGAGAGTCCTCAAATTCAAAAGCCCATTTGTTGGGGAAGAGTATCAGCAAAAGTTTTAACCCAACACCAATAAGGATCATATAAGAAAGTTCTCACCACCCTCCTGCACTGTTGGTGGGAATGTAAACTGGTGCACCTCCATAGAGAACAGTACAAAGCTTCCTTAAAAAAACTAAAAACAGAGGTACCATACGGTCCAGCAAGCCAGCCCATATCCAGAAAAGATAAAAACTCGAATTCAAAAAGATATATGCACCCCAGTGTTCATAGTAGCACCATTTTCAATAGCAAGATATGGAAGAAACCTAAGTGTCCACCAACAAACAAATGGATTAAGATGCGGTGTACATACACAATGGACTATTACTCAGCCATAAAAAAGAATGAAATCTTGCCATTTGCAGCAACGTGGAGGGACCAAGAGAAGATTAAACTAAGTGAAGTAAGTCAGAGAAAGACAAATATTATATGCTATCACTTATATGGAGAATCTAAAAATAATACAAATGAAATTATTTACAAAACAGAAACAGACTCACAGACATAGAAAACAAACTTATGGTCATCGAAGTGGAAGGGTGCGGGAGGGATAAATTAGGAGTATGGGATTAGCAGATACACACTACTGTATATAAAACAGCACCAATATAGAACATTCAGATCACCGCAGGAAGGCCTACAGGGCAGCACTGCGTTAGAAGTCACCGTGCATCTCACACTCTCACACACATACACACACTCTTTCATCTATTAAGCGCACGAGTATCTCCGTCCCCATTAACTTTGCGACTAACACTGTTCAGGCCTTGGAGAGACCCTTTTACCCATCTCTTGCTCTATGATGTGAAAGCAAAATGTGGTATCCATACACACTGGGAGTATACTCAACCTTAAAAAGGAAGGAAATTCTGACACCTGCTGTAACATGGATGGACCTTGAGGTGAAATAATGCAGACACGAAAGGACAGATACTGTCTGATTTCACTTGTAGGAGGTCCCTAGAGGAGTCAAACCCATAGAAACAGGAAGCAGACGGTGGGGCCGGGGCTGGGGGAGGGGATGGGGAGTGAGTGTTTCATGGCGACAGAGTTGCAGTTTGGGAAGATGAGAAAGTTCTGGAGATGATGCGGAGATGGTTGCACGACAGTGTGAATGTGCGTAAAGCCACCATGCTGTGCATTTAACCATGGGTTAAACAGTAAATTTTGTTGCATATTATTTTACTACAATAAAAAGAAAAAAGACCTTGTACCCACTAGCACTTACTCCCCATCTCTACCCATCTATTTTGTCTTTTAATGTTAACAGAAATTTCTGAATATTTTAGGAAAATAACTTTTTAGAAACATGAAAAATGACATTGATTTTTCAATGTTTCACGTTGAATTAGCATTTTTTCATGAAAGTATATTTACCTTTTGTACACTTTTTAGCTGCATCTTATAGCCGAACCCTTTAGTTCAGCCTTTCTCAATCGGGGTTCCAAAAGAGAATGCAAATGTGCCCAGGCATCCAGTCGGTAAGGAATTCGTGGCTCCCTGAGGCACCGGGCAGGGTGCTGGCTGTGGTCCCCCCCGGGAGCCTCAGTCTCTGCAATCCCCTTCTATGTTCTGCAGTTCCAAGGCTGATCCCTGCTCGGGAAAGGGGCCATCCTGGTTTGCCAGGGCTGCTTTTGCAAAGTCCCATAGGCTTGGTGGCTCAAAAGAGAGGGATTTACCCTCTCACCGTCTGGAGGCTGGACATCCAAGTTCAAGGTGTTGGCAGGGTGAGTTCCCGCTGAGGCCTCCTTCCTGGGCTTGCAGACGGCCGTCTTCTCCCGTGTCCTCACATGGCCTCCCCTCTGTGCATGTCTGTGTCCTGATCTCCTCTTCTTACGAGGACACCAGTCACATTGGATCAGGGCCACCCTAATACCTCATTTTACCTTAATTATCTCTTTAAAGATCCTGTCTCCCACAGTCACATTCTTTAGTTAGCACTGAAATCCTAAGTCCCAACACCTAAACCCAAATAGGAATTTTAGGGGGACACAAGTCAGCACATGACAGCTGCTTCAGGTCGTTGCTGTAACAAACTCAAATGACATGAAAATCTTGATTACACAAACATCATTCATGCCGAAATAAAGGCACCTAAAATATATCTTACATAATCATTTATGAATTAGTATGTTTTTATTTTATTTAAGACATCCAAACATCATCAGCCCATTCAACAGAATGTCCAGACACATACAGTCAAGTTCAGTCACCTATGATGTTTTGACAAGTGTAAACCGAGCGTCACTCTTTTTGTCCTTTTGGTCGTTAGGAAGGTGTATCTGTTGCGGCAGGTGGGACAGAACGTGCTGCATTCAGCTTTTTGCCAGCTTGGTCTATGAGGCCTGTATTTTAGACATGGTGTGCGGGTTTCCATTTGTACTTTTGCCCCGGGCCTCTCAAACTGTAAAGGATATTCATTTGCTTGACTACATCATAATTCATTTGCCTATTTTACTATTGGTAGATATTTATATTGTGTATCAGTTATCTATTGCAGTTAAAAATTAGCCCCAATGAATGTCAGTTGGTACAGCCACTATGGAAAACAGTATGAAGGTTCCTCAAAAAATTAAAAATAGAACTACCATATGATCCAGAAATTCCACTTCTGGGTATTTTTCTGAAGAAAACGAAAACACTGATTTGAAAATGCACCACCATGTTCATCACAGCATTACTTATAATAGGCAAGATACGGAGGCAACCTAAGTGCCCATCAGTACAGGACTAAAGATGACGTGGAACACACACACACACACGAATGAACGTACACACACAATGGACATAAAAAAGAATGAAATTTTGCCATTTGTGACAACACGGACAGACCTGCCGCGTATCATGCTGAGTGAAATAAGTCAGACAGAGAAAGGCAGACACCACATGATCTCCCTTATATGTAGAATCTAAAAAACAAAACAAGTGAACAAACAAAACAAAACAGAAACAGACTCATAGATACAGAGAACAAACTTGGGGCTGCCAGGAGGAAGGGGGGTGGGAGGACGAGTGAAAGAGGAGAGGGAAATTAAGAGGCACAAACTTCCGGTCATTGAGTCAGTCAGTTGTGGGGGTGTAATAACACACAGCATGGAGAACACAGTCAGTAATACTGCAACAACTTTGTGTGGTGGCAGATGGTAACCAGACGTACCATGGTGATCATTCTGTAATGTATAAAAATATCAAATCACTAGGTTATACTGGTAGAATATAAGCCAATTATACTTAAGTTAAAAAAATTACTCCCAATGATGTGGCTTCAAACTATAATAAATATTTAGCATCTTCAGTTCCTGTGGGTCAGGACCTTGGGAGTGGCATGGGTTGGCTCCGGCTCAGGGTCTTTATGAGGTCGTCAGCAAGAAGGCAGCTGGGGCGGCATCATCTGAAGGCTCCGCTGGGGTAGTGGGCTCTGCTTCCAGGACGGCTCCTTTCCATGGTTGGCAACTTGGTGCTAGTTGTTGGCTGGAGGCCTGTTTCTCCCCGTGTGGGCCTTTCCCAGCGCTGCTGTCAGAGTGTTCTTGCAACATGGCAACTGGCTTCTGCCAGAATGAGAGATGAGGGGGAAGGGCGGGAAGGGGAGGGGAAAGGGGGAGGGGAGGGGAGGGGGAAGAGAGAGGAAGCGCCAAGTGGACGCTGTCCTTGTAATGGCCCAGCCTGGGCATCCCATGGCATAGCTTCTGCCATACTCTGTGTTAGAAGTGAACTCCTAAGTATACCCTCAAGGGGAGAGGCTCAGGCCCCATCTTTTGAAGGGAAGAATGAGTCTATTTATGGGAATATTGAATATGAATTCTCAGACTGAATACGGGAATATTTTTAGACCGCCGCACGCTGTTTCCATTTTCTACTGCCACGTGTGTTCTGTGTACATTCCTTATACGCCTTCTGGTGCCAGCTTCCTCTCACGGCTTCTTGTCCAGCCTGGGACCCACACCACCCACTCCCAACAGGGCACAGCTGAGGGGAATGGGGCAGGGATGGCTGCCTTAGATCCATCACGGTTCCCCTGGAGCTGGGGCCACCTTCTCCGAGGCGCAGAGGCGAGGCGTGGACCCCACTCAGACTGCCCAAGGGAAACAGAAGGGAGGGCTTTGGGAGGACAATAAAAGACCACGCCGCTGAAGCCCGGCAAGGGGGTCTGGGCTGCCCGCCCTGCACGGGCAGGAGCACCGGAGTCCAAGTGCTCTCTGGCTGAGCCCGGTGGCCTCCGCTGGGTAAGAGGCCGCCAGCCCTGCACAGTGGTGCTTCCCTTCTCCCCTGGCTTCCCAGCATGCTGGTGGCCTCCACCTCCAGCAGGGTCTCCCCTCCCAGTCCTGAAGCCCCAGTGCACCAAATGGTGTCAGCTGAGGGCACAGAGGCAAGGGCCTTCTGGGGTGGAAGGTGAATCTCGTCCTCTAGCTGA